TAAATGTTGGAGGGGATGTGGGTAAAAGAGTATACTCCTACACTGCTGGTGGGACTGCAAATTGGTGCAAACACTTTGGAAAGCAGTATGGAGACTCCTTGGAAAACTTGGAATGGAACCACCATTTGAACCAGCTATCCCATTCCTTGATCCATACCCAAAAGTCTTAAAATTAGCATACTATAGTGACATAGCCACACCAATGTTTATAGCAGCTGAATTCACAGTAGCTAAATTGTGGAACCAATCTAGATGCCCATCAATAGATGAATCAATAAAGAAACTATGGTATGTGTATATGTGTATATATATATATATATATATATATATATATACACAATGTAATATTACTCACCATTAAAAGAGAATAAATTTATGACAACTGCAGGTAGATGGATAGAGCTGGAGAATATTAGGCTAAGCAAAGTAAGCAAATCCCAAAAAATTAAAGGCTGAATGTTTTCTCTGATTAGTGGATGCTGATCTATGATGGGGRCGGGAAGCAAGGGAAGAATGGAGGAACTTTGGATTGGGCAAAGGGTAGGGTGGGGAGGGGTTATGAGGGTAGGAAAGATGGTGGAATGAGATGGACATCATTACCCTAGGTACATATATAATTGCACAAATGGTGCATCTCTTCACTGTGTACCACCAGAGAATTGAAATGTTGTGCTCCATTTGTGTAGGATGAATTGAAATGCATTGTGTTGTCATGTACAACTAAAGAGAACAAATAAAAATAAATAAATAAAATGYAATACCTCAAAAAAAAGGGGAGGGGGTGGAATTGGAGATTGACAGGAAATCCGTTAGGTAAAAGTTAGGTATATAATTTAGATAAAGATTATCCCATCAAGTGAATTTCATATGTAGCAGTTCATTATATTAAACATATTCTTACTTGGAATTCCTATTTTCCAATAGAAATTATTTGTAATGGGTGATAATGAATTATTACATGATTACAAAATGACTTCTAAAATCATCTAAGAGGACAATGTTTCTGGGTCTCAATTTCCTTTTATTATAAAATGAAGTGTTGAATCAAATTTTCCATACTTTAATACTTTAAAATAGCATGCTTATATTAAACTTATATTTGTATGGTTTTACACTTTGGTAGTTCCTCAAAAACTAAACACAGAATTACCATATAATTCAACATATCATTCCTAGGTAACACCCAAAAGATTTGAAAATAGGAACTAGAGCAGATACTTATCCACCAATGTTTATAATAGTATGATTCACAATAGCCAAAGGTAGAAATAACTCCATTGTCTATCAATGAATAAATGAATAAACAAAATGTGGTATAAACATACAATAGAATATTAATTCAGCCATAGACTGATGGGACAGCTTCGTCCCTTAAACCTATAATTCATTCTTGTTCAGATTTCATGTGCAACAACGTTCTGTTTCCTGGCTTCCCACTGACTCTTTAGAGTAAAAATGTACCTACCATGCTGGCTGAACTTCAAACCATCTAGTTTAAGATATTTTTTGTAAATTCAGCTTTAATGAATCAGCTCTATGAGTTACGTGATCCACACCAGAGGCCAGAAAATCAGAAGAGGAAACTAAGGTGTAGAAGTAACTTTAAGTACCCTGCCCATAAGCAGAAAAGCTGATGAGCAGAGAAGCCTGCAACTGTATTCAGGTCTTAGCCAGTATTTTTTAAATCAATCAAAACTTTACACTCTTCAGTGAGAACAAACCCCAGAAAGTTTTAATTCAGATATTCTTAGAGTTTGTCTAATTACAAAAAAAAAAAAAAGGCATCTGAGCTCACAGACAAGTCCCCTCACATGTAAACAATCAGGAATAAGGCCTGCTGTGGACTGCTGAGGCAGTGGGTGGTCCTGGGAGAGGAGAGGGACTGCTACAAACAGACCACACCAGGTCCCAGAGACAAGGAGAGGCTGCAAAGTCACGTCTCACCACAAAGGAACAGCCGGAGAATCCAGCCCAACTCTCACCCTTCTGCAGGTAGGAGCCCTCACACCATGGAGAGGTAGGACAGGTAAGCTCCATGCCAGAGGTATTTTCAGGAAGAAGGCTTATTGATTGCAGGGTCCAGAGGGGTTATYGCCTAAAAGTTCTTTGGACCACAAGTCTGGAAATTCTTTGAACTTTATACCTAGTAAGAGGAGGGGTTTGAAGGTTTACATGACAAGTGCTTTTTGTTCCATTTTTTAGACTACACAGAAGTTTCATATATATATAATTTTCTTTCTTTTTTTTTTTTCAAACCTGGCATTTACCAAAAAAGAGGAAGCTATAAACCTGTTATGTTTTAGATGTGCTGTCCCCTAAAAGCTCATGTGTGAGCCAATGCAAGAAGGTTTGGAAGAGAAGTGATTGGATTGTAGCCTTGACCTAATCAGTGAGTCAATCCCTGATGGGGCTCGGTGGTAACTGTGGGCAGGTGGGTGTGCTGGAGGAAATGGTTCACTGGGGGCATGGCTGGGGGTATATATTTTGTACCTGGAGGGTCTCTCTCTCTCTGCTTTCTGCTCATCATCTGTGCTGCTTCCCTCCACCACATTCTTCTGCCATGATGTTTGGCCTCACCTCAAGCCCTGAAGAATGGAGCCGGCCTTCTGTGGACTCAGACCTGCGAAACCATGAGCCCCTAAATAGACATTTTCTCTCTACAGTTGTTCTGGGTAGGTTCTTTATTCACAGCAGCGAAAACGCTGACTAAAACAAAAACAAACCACAATGCCCTCTGCAGAAGTTTCTGCTGATATCCTGTGAAAAAATCTTTCTGACAGGAAGAGAAGATCAATTGTGTGGGGGGGTCTCTGGTAGGGGTACCTGGTCTGCTTCAGTGGCACCTACCACCCCCCACAGTCATCCACAGAACAAGCAAGTGTGAGAGTAGTAGGGCACACATTTGGGGACCTTATGATCCTCAACTGTCACACCCAAAAAGTAAGTATCTGGGGTAACGATGCCCAATCTGATCAGCACGTGTGGGGGTACAAACTACTCCCAGTGGTAAATGCTCCGGTGAACTCGGAATCCACATAGACCCATGGGACAGCTTCGTCCCTTAAACCTACAATTCATTCTTGTCTGGATTTCATGTGCAACAACGTTCTGTTTCCTGGCTTCCCACTGACTCTTCAGAGTAACAATGTACCTGCCATGCTGGCTGAGCTTCAAACCATCTAGTTTAAGATATTTTTTGCAAATTCAGCTTTAATGTATCAGCTATATGAGTTACGTGATCCACCCACAGAGATACATCTGTTATTAGCTTGCTAAAAATAAATAAATAAATAAATAAATAAATAAATAAATAACCCAGTGTTCTCAGTCCCTAAGACCAAGCCAGATCTTGGTCCAAGGCAGTGAATGCCATCTTCCCAGAACCCCCTGCAAGTCTGCCTTCAGTAGCCCACTCTGTCTGGTTTTCTTTCTCCTCCTCCTGCAAGAATTATCTTCCATGTATAAATATACCATAATGAATTCCACCTTTATACATATCTATAAAGCACCAATTAAAAATAAATAAGTAAAGGAGTTGAAGGAAGACCAGCAGAATACAAGAAAGGGAATAGGAGGAGGGGGGAGGGGGAAAGTGAAGTGGAGTGAATTCCATGCATGGACGATTCTGTCCAAATGAACCCAACTATTGCCTAGAACTACAATGCACTAATAAAGCATAAGAAGAATTACCTGCAAGATAGTTATAAAAGTTGAATGAGATAAAAGTAATTGTGTTGATCAAACCTATTGCAAATGACAGATACATGTACATTTTCCCCCACCCTCATCTCTAGATTTTATTAATACTGATTAAAAAGTTAGAATCAGAAAACTTCTATTCATACTAGATTACAGAAATTTTTTTATATACTCCGTGAAACCATACCAGTCCTGTGAGTGCTGAGAGAAACAATTTTTCTCCAAATTCTCAGATACTAAAAAATAGGCCCTTGGGCTGGGGATGTGGCTCAAGCGGTAGCGCGCTCGCCTGGCATGCGTGCGGCCCGGGTTTGATCCTCAGCACCACATACCAACAAAGATGTTGTGTCCGCCGATAACTAAAAATAAATATTAAAATTCTCTCTTTCTCTTTAAAAAAAAATAGGCCCTTTAGTTCAAGACTATTTTAGGGTGTAGCAAAGGGAATGGGCTCCTAAAAAATACCTATCAGAGGCCAAAAGGAGCAAAAATAGAATTCGTACCAATAAAATGAGGCCATATAAGTAAAAAAACAAAACAAAACAAAAAAACCCTGTATAAACTACCCCAGACCCAAATAAATGAAAGAAAATTAGTCCAATATTGTAAATTGCGTTAGGAAGATACAACCAAACTCTCTCTTAGTTTCACTATGATTACAAAAGTAGTATCAAAAGAATAACCAATGACTGTTATAAGGAGCAATAAAAATGTTTGGGCTGGCTGGGCGTGGTGGTACACACCTGTATTCCAGCAGCTCAGGAGGCTAAGGCAGGAGGATTGAAAATTCAAGATCAGCCTCAACAATTTAGTGAGGCCCTAAGCAACTTCTGAGACCCTGTCTCGAAATAAAATATACAAATGGGCTGGAAATGTAGCTCCATGGTTAAGGCTCCCCCCCCCCCCCCGCCCCTTTAATCCTTGATACCAAAAAAAAAAAGGTCTGGCTGACTAGCGTTCTGAAGTGATCTCTGAGAGCAGGAAACTGATGAGACAATCCATCTTGAGAGTTGCTTCACTTGTATTACCACTGTTATGAAATGATTCAACTTTTGCAACACCTTTCTCACATGAGCCAAATTGAAAATACAAAACAACCAACATATGGAAAGTTCTATTTTCTGCTCGTCTGCATTTGTTTTCCCCTGACTGTGGCTGAGAGCTGAGATTTTATGTTGCAATGACAGTTTTCCCCTTTCGGAGCCCTTGGCAGCTTTAATCTTCCACAGTGGAGGGCGTTAAAAAAAAATGACACAATGGAAAGCTACATTCCCCATCAGGATAAGGAGAAGAATGCATACCTCGTTCAAATTTTAACCTCTGATAAAGCTGAAACTGATCCACAGGTACCAAACAGGCAATCTGAAAACAGAGATATGGGAGAGGTGAGATTGAATCACTGCAGGCCCTGGAGTTAGCAGCCATTTATGATTTCTCTTCCTGGCTTTGCCTACGATTTTCTCCCTGTACCAGTGTTTGCAAACTTCTTTTTCTTGACACTATTCATGCAGAAACACCTGCAGCAATTCTCAAATAATCCTCGTCTCCTAGCACAGCTAGGACACACTGTCAAGTCTTCAATTATGAAATGAAACAACTTTCTTCCATTCTTGAGCAGCACAACTAAGAGCAGACAACCAAAATTTATTTGGACTTCCCAAATTATTTGTCTATATATATGAATGCTGCTGCTTTCTTTCTATATTCAGTTTCAAAAATTCAAAAAGATTATAGTTTTAGACCAGTGGTGCTGAGGAAACGGGAGGGGGAGGGGAAGGGGAAGGTACTGGGGGAAGGAAATGGATCCAACCATGTTACGTACATGTATGAATACTTCACAATGAATCCCCACCATTATGTAGAACCATAATGTACCTTTAAAAAAAAAAATACTGGTTCTAGCTTTGGACTCTTAAAAGCTAAGGTCAGGTAGACAGTGCCTCAGGAATTATAAAAACAGCATTTGTCACCTAGGAAACAGTATCTTCCAAACAACAACAAAAAATTATTCCTGACAAAAATCACTCATGGAGCCCTTAGTCACCACACACTGATATCCCAGACCCTGGAGACAAAGAAATGCCTCAGGTACTGCTTATGGCTAGATGTCTATTTCCATTTCAGATGTACAGTGAACCAAATGTTTACCAGTGAACAATGATTCATACCTAACCAAGTGACATTTCAGATTAATTATTTTAAATTGTATTTCAAAGGCCTATGCAGGAAAAGCTAACCACTCTTAGAGTGGCATTCTAAAAATATTAATTCCATTGACATCAAGATACAAGTACACTAACGTTTCTTAAAAGATTTATAGCTGAGAAAATAAAAGAATTTGCTATTAGCCTTCCAGACATCAGCAATACAGGATAGTCTTGACGATTCCTCTAAACCATACACAAATATATACATACACATACACATGCACATATACACACACACATGCCATGTATGCACACACATTTTTATAAGTGTTTTTGATATAAAATGTATCTGGATGGAAATTCTTGCAACTAACTAAAGGAAATCAGCTTTGAGAAAACCAGAGTRAGATAATACAGCCAAAATTACATCTAAAAACATATAATACATTTAGAAATGCATTAGAAATCTAATTATTCCCCTCACAAAAATAATTTCAATTTGTCTATTTTGCAAATGAACAAAATAAGTTTCTAATTAAAACGTGTGAAGAACCACAACTCAGTTCTATCTCTACTATTCCAAGTGAAGTAGGGTAAAACAAATTTAATTAATTATGAACATTTTTTTCCTAATTTTTCTTTCTCCAACTGGGGACAAAGTATGATATATTCCCATTTGGTACCTTAAACAAACACTCCTTAGAAATCCTTGTAAAAATGTTAGGGTGAATTTTATGTTATATCTATTTTGCCACAGTTCTTTTTAATTAAAAAGTATGATTAGACTTTCATTATGTTGAAAACCACTTTTGTTCATTTGTTATAATACTACCCAAAAATCCTTCCTGAAAGATGAAAGTTCTCAAATAAAACTTGGAATTGGAGATAGAAGGTGCAGCAAGTGAAATGGTAGGAGACATTAAAGAACTGGAGTCCACTTTCTGACTTTGTCATTGATCTTTGTGTAAAGAACCAATTGCTACTTACTTTAACTTTTGTACCAAGTTGTTTTGAGGATGGTATCAAATGGGTCCAAGAGACCTCTGTCACATTCCATGATCAACAAGCCTCAGCTATTTGAAGCCATTGATTCTATGGACAGTCCTATTCCCCACCCACCTCCATCTAAAGTAGTTTGTGAACTGGTAAAGAACTTCCTTAAGTCCTTCAAAGTCAACCCCTAAAAATCTTCATTTTTCAATGATGAGCAACTTAGATAACAGTTGGGTCAAATACAGTTTATGAGAGACAGGCAAATTGAAGATATTTTATATGGTTTGACTGTGAGGTGTCCCCCAAAGGCTCATGTGTGAGACAATGCAAGAAGGTTTAGAGGAGAGATCCTTGGTCTATGACAGTCTTAACCCTATTAGTGAATTAATCCCCTCATGGGACTAACTGAGTGGTAGCTGAGGCAGATGAGGTGTGGCTGGAGGAGGTGGGCCATTGGGGACGTGCCTTTGGGGTACATATTCTGTATCTGGCAAGTGGAGACCTTGCTCTGCTTCCTGATCATCACATGAGCCGCTTCCCTCTGCCCCACTGTCCCGCCACGATGCTCTGCTGTACCTGGAGCCCCGAGGAATGGAGCCAGCTCTCTATGGGCTGAGACCTCTGAAACTGTAAGCCTTCAAATAAACTTTTCCTTCTCCACAATTGTTCTTGTTGGATTATTTAGTCACAGCAGTGAAAAAGCTAACTAAAAAAAATGTTTTAGACACAAATGAAATGCCAATGAGAAAAACAACAGAAATTAATGCAGTAAAAAAATCACCAGCAGTAGGAATGGATGTTTACAAACATAAATTTCATCAAAGTTCCTATTCCTGCCAATGGGAAAGTCTCTAATTTTTTGGCCTCTTCCTCTACTTTGAATCTCCTTTATTATTTCCTAACTCATAGGTTCATATGGAATAAAACCTTAATAAGGTAAATCAATTTTTCCATTACAATCTGTGATCATGAAAAGTTATTTCTAGCATGGCTCTCTATTTCATCCTTTGGGAATAATGGTAATGCCCAGAACACACCCTTCTCTCTGTTGTGTAAACTTGCATCTTCTCCATACGCTAGGTGATGGTCTGCTATAGGCAAAACACTACATGATGCCTGGCCATGCCAAAGAGAAGAGGTTGTGCTTAAGGAACCGAAATTGCCCACACACAGGATGGAGAAAGAATTTATACTGGGATCTTGTCATCAGTTGGATTTTTCAGATTAGGACTGATTTTCTAAAATACTTCTATCACACTTGTGGCTTTAGATAAGGAAAAGCTGGAGCTATTTAAAGATAGCAGATGATGCAAAGTATTGAATTCATAGTTCCACTGCCATTTGAAGCTAAGTCACCATTGTTCAAAGTCTCCGTTTCTACAATTATAAGGTTGAAATAACCCTATTAGAATGATATTGGAAGACTCAATCACGCTGCAGGTAAAGGGTTAGGATCAATTTTTTGAGGGTATTCACAAATACTCTAAAATCATCAGACTAGATGAGACTAGAGAATAATAATAAGATTATAAAAAAGTGTCTTGTAGGGATAGAGATATAGCTCGGTTGGTAGAGTGCTTTTGCATGCAAAAGGTCCTGAGTTCAATCCCCGGCACCACACACACACAMAAAAAAGTGTACCTTATAGTATACCTTTATCCTGTTTCTACCAACAAAGAAAGACCAAATCATCCAAAATCACACTAGGACATCTTTTTTTTTTTAACTTTTTATTTTGAAATAATTTTAGATTCATAAAAAGTTGCAAAATTTGTAGAATACCTAAATGTCATTCCAACTTCCCCTAGAGAGCACACCTTATAAAACCATACTTACGGAAATAATAAAATTTACATTGATATGTACAATTAACGTCTTTTTTTCAGTCCAGGATCCAATCCAGGCTACTACCTTGTACCTAAGTGCAGTATCTCCCTTGCCTTCTGTGACACCTCTTTAGTTTCTGAAGATCTTGACATGTCCGAAAAGCCCAGGTCAGTTATTTGTATGATATTCTTCCATTTGGACTTGTCTGATGCTTTCTCATGATTAAAGGAGTTGTGTATTTCTACAAGAATGCCAAGTATGATCTTGGAGCCATCAGGAGGCACATGAGGACATGGTTCAGGACTGTGATGTCAACTTCCTAACTAGGTTGAGGCAAGGAGTGCCAGGTTTCTCCACCCTTTGTAATTATAAGTATCCTGTAGGGGATGTTTTAACTTAAGATCTTTAAGATATAAGGACAGACACCAGATGGAGATAGGTTATTACTTATAGGTCCTGGGTGGTGAGGGACACAAGCATGATGGGAAGATACACACGGAGGACAGGGAGAGAGAAGGACCCATGGGAGAACACCTTAACTGGGGCCAGGGCATTATCAAAACAGGTTTCACATGAAGAATTTTGACTGGTGGGTTTAAATAAAGCAGGCAGAGCCAGGTGCAGCGGTGCATGCCTGTAATCCCAGCAACTCAAGAGGCTGGGGCAGAGTTCAAAGCCAGCCTCAGCAGATTAGAAAGGCACTCAGCAACTCAGTGAGACCCTTTCTCTAAATAAAATACACAAAAGGACTGGGGATGTAGCTCAGTGGTTAACCTTTGGGTTCCACCCCTGGTACACTCTCCCCCCCCCCAACAAAAAGAAAGCAGGCAGAGTTCTAGGCTCTGACTGAGAAGTGGTTACTATGGAGTATCTGCAAGTTCATGTGGGATGTGAGGGTAACTATGGCTATTCAAATAGGCTGCATCTAGCTGTCCCACAGGGAGGTGGTTATCAGAAGGAAGTTGTATACAGGAGATTTCTGGAAGGACCACATTGAGGAACTGAGAGAAGATGTAGAGCTAGAATCCTATTGTGTCAGGGTGACTAAGCCCTCTTTCTGGTATGAGAAAGTCCAACTTGTATTCACGATGGATGCTAAGGCAACATGAAATCATAATAATAATTTACTGCGGGGGGATACTTGATTCAAATTCTGTTCTCATCACAAGTTTGCCTGCTGATGTTAGTCTCTAGTGGCAATTTATTCTCCAAAAACGTTAATGTGGTATTTGCTTAATGATGATTTTTCAATTTCCATCATTCATTCAATATTTGGTGATTAGAATTCTGCTGTCGGGTTAGATAGGAGCAAAAAGGTCTGGTATGCTATGGCACCAGTTAAAAATAAATTTAACTTATTGGAATGGAACCACCATTTGACCCAGATATCCTACT